AATATCCGTTGAGGCGTAGTTCGCGCATCTGTTAATATCTAATCCCATTTCCCCTTCTATACGTTAATGGTTAATGGTGTTCCAAAGTGGTCAGCAACCGGAACAAGTCCTAATTCCGTCTTAAATCCCGAAAACGTAGGGAGTGAAGTTTAGATTTTGGGGATGAGGGAATCTCAGCCGGGGGCCGAAGTGAATCCTGAATGAGTAACTATTGTCCAATGGTTAGGACCGCCACAGCCACCACCAACGCCACCGCCACCGCCTTGAATCAATCTCTGCATAAACCAAGTAGACACTGTATATGGTCTTGATCATGTTGGTCTGTGTGGAGTCCTCCAAGTCACACAATCGCCCCCGGGGTCCGGCATACTGCGGTGAAGCAACACTGTGCTCGAGACCGAGGAACACAAGCGTTCCGGAATTATTGCCGGCGTTGCCTCGTTAATTATCGAGAGGTAATCAATGTCAGCGACGATATCGCTTTGGCCGTGCGCTCAGATTCCACGGCCCAGTGGATTCCCCGAGATGCTGCACCTCTTCAACAATCCACCGATTATTGTCCAAGATATCGTCACCAAGTGCATAAAACAAGGCTTACATTATGTTTTTTTAATCGCGCTCTTACTATATTCTTACGTACCTCCTATAAATTGTGGCTAAAAGGTTGACTGAACTCCTATCCAACTTACTTAATCTATTTTTATTTTTATTTCATTTCGAATTAATCTCTCGAGTATTCCAGTTTTTCATCACTTATCAAAGGAAGACATTTTTTTTATGTTAAAACCATTAGTAAATCTTACGAATTTATTGAAAATTCAATTAAATGTAAATGCTGCGAAATTTATTATAATATTTCATCTTTGATTATTGATGGTTTACTGTAGTTTTTTGAAAACTTTTTTCTTGTCCAAGTAGAAATGAAAATGGACAATTGTATTGCAAGACAGTGAGACCCTCAGGCTTGGACAAACTCGGGTGCCTCAATCGTTATTCAAGTAGAATATCCAGGGGTAGAAAACAATAATATTCACCATTTACCCTTAATCGACCTGGAAGCATTGCTCCATCGTTATTCAGGTATATAATGTACTCCGGGGTTAGTCAATCGGTTATTCAAGTATAATATGTAAGGATGGAAAACAATAATATTCAACATTTACCCTTAATCGACCCGAGGGCATTAGACAAATACGCCGACCGGGATTAAATCAGATTAGTCGGACGAAATTTATGCCGTTTTGGGACTAAAATATCGGAGGTTATTTACCATCAAGAATATTTATTCGTATCGATATTCTCGATCGTATCAGAATCAGGAACAAAAACCAGACAATAATTCAAATCGAAAATTGAGGAATTATTTTTTACGAGAAATTATTGCCGTCTTCAAACGCCAATTAAAAGACTAAATATTTATAACAAGTAAGCATTCATTGTTTTTTAATCACGCAAAATTTCATAAGTACCTGATAATTTATTTAATTAATAAAATCACCACAGGTTATGTAAATCAATTCATCAGCATTTAATTTTGAATTAACAACAGTTTAGAAATATTTATCTAAAACTTGGGGTAAAAAATTAGTCCCACAATTTTAATTCGACAAAATCTTTTAGAAAAAGATTCTCCTTTTAGTTTTTAGGCTGCGATTGAAAATCCGACTTCAATGGAAATCACGACTAATCCTAATATCCGATATGAATAAATTCATCAGAGATTTACTTTGGCAGGAAGTTGCGTGGAATATCAGCCTATTATTCAAACTATCATCGCCGCGGGAAATTGACACTGTTGTGTTTGAAATACATATAGCGCTGAGAATTCCCTCAAGGAAGAGAGTAACAGGCAAAATACCACTACCTTTATATCTTACATTACGAACATCGGGCCTACTTGTATTGCGTATGCATACTTGACGGGGGGGAGGGGGGGGGGGTTACCCACTGGGGTTGTAAACGTTACTTGCGTCTTAGAGTACTTCATCCACACGCACTGTACATACAACCGCATGTATATGAAATAACACGAGCGATCGATAACATCGAATTACTCGTGTGCCACACTCTCAACCTCGAAGTCTTCAAGTCATTATATCGCGGGTTTTCGCGGGACCTGGAAATTTCATTAGATCCACTCGAATCCACCCGCGTGAAAAAAAAATGTACGTCAATTTATGTGTTTATATATTCCAATAAAATATATTGTTATGAATTTTATTTATACTGTAGAATATTTTCGTTTGTGCGGTCATAGGGTGATCGTAATAGCAGTAATTTGAAAAAAATGTTAACATTATTCCTGGAAAGTTGAACTTTTTGAAATGGAATGATTAATTTTGGAGTGATGTGGGTAAAAAATGAAGAGAAAAAGCGTGATGGGATAATCTAAACGATCGCCACAAAGGTGGAAGTAGAGAAATACGGAGTGAAATTGGCAATAACGGGATACCACTGGTGTGGAACAACCCCCCGCGGCTGTTGGACGCCAACTTCCTATTCTGGTTAGCATTCAAATTGAATATTCGTGGGTGGACGGTCGTCAAGAGTTAGTTGGCATTAGCGTACCACTGAAAATTGCAAGCATATAGAAGCCACTTGGCAATCTCCAATATTCGGTGAAAATACCAACAAAAAAGGAAGAAAAGTTGTTGGCATAGTTGTTGGGGTAGTTGGTAGAATTTAGCATCAATGAGAATACGTCGGTGTCCCAGAAGACGTGTTTTGCGGTGGTGAAAAGAAACAGCGGTGAATAATTTAAACGAGTGGTATATTGAAATTAGGCCGTGGATGAATGAAAAATTCAGGGATTAATATCGGCCAAGTAGGAGGCACTTTTGCTCGTTACGCTTAATGGCTTGCTTGTGCTGGTCCCATGTCTGCTCGAGAATTTTCTCTACAATACCATCGGGATATATATGCACCGTTACGACACCCCCGGTGGTGCTCACCATTCCACCGTTTCCTTATTCTTATAATGTTCGGGAGCAGCTTGACATCATTCTTATTTCAATTATAACGAGGAGGTAGAGTTCTCGGTAATTGTTTCGCATCATAAAACCCCAGATGTTCAATGGTACCGGGGTATTATCAATACATCACACTAACATCCAACGGATCCAACATCCCAGAGGAAAAACCAATGCATTTATCAATTTATTAAGTACCCCTTGAATCATCTCCAACGAACATCAAACGTTATAAATTTTAATTGTCAATTTCTCGTACCTTGGAATATCCACAGATATTCTATTTCATGATGAAACTATTGGGGTCAAGTTAATTTGGCAACGAGAAGTCCAACCTCGAGATACACTAGACGTTACTGCTGAGAATATCGTACAGCTCGCTGGATCCATGATTAAATCCAACGATGGGCAGGGCCAGTGCTCGCATAGTTACCTCTAATAGAATTATATTAAGACATTGAGGATTCTGGCCCTTTCTCAGGAGGCAACTGTGCCCACCCTACCACCCCCTTCCGTGATTCCAATTCCCGTAACTCTCGCTGATTTCACCCTCCCCCACTTTCTCCTTATTCCTTCGAAGGCCCTGAGGAGGCTCTACTTCACCCCCTATCTACCTCCCTCCACACAACTCGGTTTCCACCCTCTCCACCCCCATGGGAGCCACCGTGCTAAATTAGCCATTTCGAATCTCAGCAAGTTTGGGGTCGAAGGAAATGGCTGCAGAGGTAAATTCGAGTAATAGATCAATTTTAGAGGAGAAAAGTTTCAGGCTCTGGTGGACGTTGTGGAATTGAGAAAATATTTACCAACTCCACTTGATTGCTTGTCGAATTTATTTTATGAGGAATTATGAAAATTTATAAATGTCAGGAAAAATATGTAATATATTATGTGATATAGAAACAAATTCAGAAATATTTTTTAAAATATCGAATTCTTGAATTCTGAAATTTCGTGATTTCATAATTTTCATACCAATCAAAATTTTCGTTCTGAATATTTGAGAAACAATAAAATTTTCAATTTAATAACGACACGATTAAAAAAAAATTAAATAGATCGTGAGGATAATTAAAATTTCCTGCATTTACCCTTAAAAATTAAGACTTTTAAAATATCCACTGCAGACGCAAAAAAAATATAAAGTATTAAAATATCCTATCCAACTTGAAATCACACACACTCCATTCCCAATCCGGGAAAACTCCCCTGATATACCCCCGAATGATAAAAAATTCAACCTAATTGTTATCTCCTCCAGCAAAGTTCTGTCCCCTTTAAGACATCTCGGCAAAGTTTAATATTCAAATGAAGACCATTCCATCCCAGGAAAATTAGGTAATTCCGGTTTTTATTGCGCCTTTTTATTCGAACAAAGGGTCGCTCTTTAATAGCTAATAATGGTACTCGGTTTTTCTCGGTGAAAATTTTCCTCTTCACCCCCGGGAAAATCACTTTTCACCGGCGTAACCCGATAGAGCATTTCCGGAGTCTAAATCAAGCGGGCTAATTCGGTTTAAACTCAAGGGGATGAAAAAAAAGAGGAGCACACTCAGGGACACCGGGTGAAAAAAGCTGTGAGGAGGGTCTGGAGTCTCTTTCTCCTCTCTTCTCCCCACAGTTATACTCTTACCCCCCGTGCACGTCCAACGATCCTCGAATTACGTTCCGAGGGTAATGAGCCGAGTACGTTGGTAACGCACGACGTTTTCGCAGCCTATAACGTCAATTCTCCCTTTTTCTCTCTTTTAGTCACTTATCGGTTCGGCGATCATGAGAATTCCTCAGTAACTCCAGAACGGAGGACTGTAAACTGAGAAAAATAATCCAATATAACTTTTCCACCCACAAAAAAATCTCCCTCGTCAAACAATAATAATAATACTACCGTAATCAATTATTATTAAATAAGAATAATAAGTCTATTGAATTTATATTATATAATGATTGATTTAATGATATCATGATGTTGACAAAAAAATTGAAATCTCAAAAAATCTGAGAAAATAATGTAACTTTTTATGTTGACAGCTGAACTGAAGATGGACGTCCTCCGAGAACGAGAAGTAAAGGACAGCCTGGAGCGACAGCTACAGGACGAGCAAAAGACAAGAGGTAAGTCCTGAAACTCCAGTAGTTGTAATATCTCTAGTCATATATGATTTCCAAAGTATCGATCCGTCCTAAACTCCGGTTATAGTCTAAAATCGGAGATGAAGTTGCTGGGGATGGTTGGTACTTCGATTTGCAACGTAATAATCGTCTGCAGTACAGAGAAGAGGGGAGGGATATCGAATGTCTCGAACGGGTTTCGTACTCGAGGGGTTAACTCGGTAATAAATCAAGAAGCCGTAGAGACACTATGAGCTATAAAGTCTCAGTGGTCTCTCCCCCGTCACAATCTTCCGAATGTACCTCTTGTCTTCCAAAGGCTCTCCATCGCATCCTATTATTCCCGTCTACCAGAACGCCTTTTCCGTCTCTTTTCCTCATCTTCATGTTGGTGCAACGTCAACATCCCGGGGTATGGTGGACCTTTTGCAATGGAGTGATGGAAGGAAGGAGATGAGCGAGCCAAAGGCCGTGATCGCTCAACCAAGTTTGTATCGGATGTCAGTTGGTAATAGAATAGTTGCCTCTTGTTTATGGGATGGTTTCCCTTTGACCGCCAAGATTATCTGTCCCTCCTTGGACCCTTGCTGTATGTGGCGTCTTATTGGCGGCGTCGGTCCCATCTTCCATTTTTACCCCGTCAAATACCCACAGGGATCATTCATTAGTCATTCTGCAAAATTCAATATATCTCTCGCTAATTGAGAGTAAAAATATATTTCGAGAATTGATATGCAATAATTCGTAGGGCTTGATTGATTTTTCGATTAATAAAAACATTGAAATATAAATAATGATGATAATGATGATATACGATAATTGAAATTTTTGTTTTATCCTTAGAGATTACAAATGTAAAATATTTTGTTCATTGATATTTAAGGGTGTTATTCATTCCTTAAATCTGAGAATCACTCGATATTTTCTCGTTTTTCATTATCAACCCTTATTCAGGAGTTTAAAAAAAACTCTGAAGTCACTGTGAAGCCATCAAAACTTATTTTTTCAACCCCCAGTGCTCTCGGCTCATCGACTCAAATGGATTCATCAAGCCAATCTCTCTTTGTACCGTTCAATTCCTGTGACATTGGGATGTACAAAAATTCACCCCCAGTGGAAAATCTCCCCCGTGCTTTTTTTGCTATCGGAAAACACTTGCGCTTGAAAAATGAATGCCCCTGGAGGGATGTGTAAAAATGAAGCATTGAAAAAAAAAAAAAGTGGAGAATGAAAAAAAGCCTCGAGTCATCGATCTCGAGATCCGTCGATCCGTTTGTCAACTGGTGCGCGGGTTTGTGTAACGAGGGTCAGAGGATTGGGGGGTGGGTTGTACTGCGGACGTTACACTTTGCGCAGCCCAGACCAAACCCAACCCCTTTTTCCCACCCCCTCGATGCAACCGAGTTATCCGACACGTATTGTCATCGGTGATATTTTATTTACGACGTTATATTGCGCTCACGCTGAATCCGTAATGCCTCCGCTGCTCGCTCTTTGCCATTGGAGGGATACATTTTCATGTCGACACGGTGAAAATCATCGGGAATTCTTTTGCCCCAGATATTTTTTTGTTCACATAAACAATTTTCGGGAATGCTGCCTTCATTCTGGAGAATGTGAATTTGAAATTAAAACCTTTCTGGGGTTCCAAGTAATGAATTGAAATAAAATTTCTGAAAATATCGAGATAGAAGGAAAAAAATCCAATTGCAACTATTACATTAAATAAATAAAACCCTCGAACAATCCAAAAATTCACCCCCTCACTTCAGAACTGAACTGCAAAAATAATATTCTCCTTTATCGAGCCGAAAACGTAATCAGCGAAACATAAACCTCTTCAATCACCCAATCCCCCTGGGAAATAGTGACAAGTAGCTTCACTCCTAATTTACCCATAACGAATTAAAAAGATCCAAAGAGAAAAAAAAATTGGGGTGAAATCTAATAAAGTAAAACTAAAACCCATGAGTGATGCACTCTCGTGTTACCTCGGTAAAAATGAACAGGAGGTATCACTGGTGCCTATCAGTCACCGTGCGACAAAAGCAAATAGACATTGCTTGATACGAAAAAAAAAAAAAAGGTGAACCCGATACAGAGCGACTATTTCTCGTGAAAAATCCAGTGATATCACACCACCGAGGGAATATGTGGGAATCGAATGTACTTTCAGGACTCTTGGTTCCGGAGGCACGGTTCTTTTTCACAGATAGCTGTCATATTCATGTATTGACACTCCACCCACCCTCTACCACCCCCTGGCCACCCCCTTGACTAATGGACTGAGCTGTTGTCCCAGTCTAGTGTTACAACTGGGGCTTGGCTCATTCTTCGAGTCCCTCTCCTCGCTCTAATGTATATATTTCATTTCTTTATGTAGTGAGAAAATATGGCTTTCCCATATATTCCGGGTAATGTGGGGTAATATTGGCTCTTCGCAAATAATTAATTTTCAAAAAGAATCGGGGGTGGCGAGAATGTGTCGACATTTTTTGGAGACATTCAAATTTTTTGTAATAATTCACTAACAAATCATCATTTTTAAATAAAATATTACATAATTAAATAATTAGAATAACCTAATAAAATATATTATGTTTATTAAAAAAGATCCATTTACAATAAATAAAAATCTTTTTTAGATAAAAAAATGTTTTGAATTTTTAATTTTCGGCTATTGTAATGGATTCATTGTGGTATTACAGCGCGTAATTTATTCTTGGAATAGTGAATTAATCTGCCCACTGCACATGTTTGTATGGCCCTATAATCAATAGGTCCTCTCCAATAATCTTAACTTATCTACTTACTCCCCCTAGCGGAGCTAATTGGCATCGATCTATTGACGATAACAATCAGAAAGGCCAAGCCAATTCGACTGCACTTAGTATCCAATCAGTTCGAACGCTCATCAAACTAGATAGTCGTTAAAGTCAAAAGGGAAACCGAGCATTAACTCATATTATCGGATTGCCTGACATTTTGTTAAAGGTTCCGGTACCCCACCCCCCACCCCCTCGATGTAGGAAGACTTGATTGTCTCGGGGGGTCATGTCATCTTTTTTTTTAGCATTAAAAATATTTAGCATTAAAAATATTCGCCTTAATTCTCTGGATTTGAATTTCTATCGCATTGAATCTCCTCTGAAATTCTCCACAATCTTGTTATTAAAAAATGAAATTATTATTTAACAGAAAGGTGAAATTACGACTTGAGAAGTTTTTTTACTACTTTCCATAATTTTTTACCGCGTGATATTAATTCTGCAGCAATGAATACTGGGATGTTTTATAAATTTCCGTTTGGAACGATCTAATGACAAATATTTCCATAAACATTCAATTTCTGTCTCCAAGATGAAGCAGACGTGAAAAATGGAATATTGATGTACATAAAGCAAACCGCGGAAGCTACTGTGCGCGACAGATGGTGTATATGATGTGGTTTCTGAGGACAGAGTCTTGTCGACAGTTTCCCAAGAACCTTTTGCCATTGTAATTACGAGGAGAGCCATATTTGTCATTCAAGATACGTGAATTTTCTTTGAAACTGCTGTTTACACGTCAATTTGTTTAACTACAAAAATCCACAATTCACCATGAAAAATTCATTTACAAAATAATCCAAAATAATTAAATACAATCAACAAAAATTGTATAATTTCCACTCAGATGTTCCGGTAAAAAATTTCGAACTGCCAAGTGCCCGGACTTTCACATTTTCTTTCGGTAATTTGAAAATGAAATTATTCTTCCGGTCGAGAATTTTTGGAATGGCTAATGAATTTTGCGTCGATGATTTGACGAATAAAATGCAATTCCCGATATGTTGGTACGATTTAAAAGCGATGGGACAGTACGTGCTAACAAGAGGGGTGAAAAGAGACTCGTGGAATCGTGCGGGTAAATTCCCCAGGGTCCCAATTACACCGACACCCGATCCTGGCATTACTCGGCTAATTCGAGGGGTGAATCCGTGGATAAATCTCAGTCCAGTTGATTGTGCAGTTTTGGATGTATGCCATTTGGCGAAAGCCCTCAAAACCCCAATTATTCAAACTTGACAATTGTGAAACTTCATTGTCTATCATTTCTCCTCTTCCACTCATCAATAAAAATTCATCTCAACTGTCATAATATCAGTAATTATAAATATCGCAATTGCTCTCAATTGAATTTATTATCAAATCGAATTATTAATAGAATTGATTCAATCAGGACTTGAATCAGGACTTGAATCAGGACTTGAATCAGGACTTGAATCACGACTTGAATTTTCATGATAAATTCTCTACTCGTCTGTTTTATCTACTGGCAATTTAATAATAAAAATATAAAAATTTTAAAAATAAATATCCATCCAATCAATAAAATAATTCTAGACCTCGTTTCTTTCACCTCAAAGTCACCTTTCTCCTTAATTTCCAATGAGTCGGAATACGACATGAAACGCTAAACTGCCACAAAGGCACCCCTTCTGGGTATAATCCCTCCATTCTCCAAAATTCACCAGCTAAAAAGGATGAAAATGCTGGTTGGAATGAGGGGTGAAAAGGTGGTGGAGATCGATGGCTTCCTAATGTTTGTCCACTACCATACGTTCTTGTTCTCTTCTACCTCGAACACTTGAGCACTCAGGGATAAACTCGAAAGATTCAGTGAATCAGAACGCCAAGGTACAGAGAGTGTCACAGACATTTTACATAACCAGAGCGTTTGCGTTAACCCGAGACTCACAAAGGGATTCCTTGGACAGTTAACACGACTGATGGGGTAGAAAGTCTCTCTTTTCATCCCTCATTTTTTTTCAAAGTACCAATTGACCAATCGAATTGAGGGGGAAATGAGTTTTTTTCTTCCACCAGTTCATCGGCTTCTTCATATTTTCAAATATATTCTGCGTTTATAAATCCAGAAAAAATAAACTATTTTTATTTCATTACATTTATCAGTGGAAAGTCTTTTTCATTGATGAGTATAGCCCAATATTTTTATCATTG